TTACAGCAGTGATTATTACGGCTGTTTACATTCCCCCACAAGCCGACACTGACCGAGCACTCAGGGAACTGTACAGCGCGATCAGCAGCGAGGAAACCGCACACCCAGAGGCGCGTTTATCACAGCCGGAGACTTTAATAAGGGAAACCTGAAGAAAGTCTCACCCAAACTCCACCAACACATCCATTTTAACACTCGTGGAGATCGGCTACTCGACCACTGCTACACCTCTTTCCGGGATGCGTACAAAGCCCTCCCCCGCGCCCCATTCGGCCAATCAGATCACCGCTCCATCCTGCTCCTGCCCGCCTACAGGCAGAAGCTGAAACAGGAAGCTCCAACCCGGAGGGCGGTGCACTGTTGGACGGACCAATCGGAGTCTGCGCTGCGGGACTGTTTTGATCACGCGGACTGGGAAATGTTTCACGTGGCTGCTAGGGACATTGATGAATACACAGACTCAGTCTGCGTGGAAGATGTCGTCCCATCCAGAACAGTTAAATCCTTCCCAAATCAAAAACCCTGGATTAACAGAGATGTTCGCGCGGCACTGGCGGCACGGAGCACCGCCTTTGCCTCCGCGAACACATCGGACTATCAAAGCAGCCAAACGTGAGTACAGGGACAGGGTGGAGCAACAGTTTGACAACCCTCGGAGTATGTGGCAGGGACTAAACACGATCACAGACTTTAGAGGGAAACCCAGCACACCGCAGACCACGGCCTCTCTGTGTGAGGATCTAAACGTATTCTACGCTAGATTCGACACAGCGAACACCATGAGACCGGACAGTGTGCGCACCGCGGATGACGTCAGTGCGCACACTGTGTCTGAGGAGGATGTGCGGAAGTGCTTCAGGAAGGTGAACGCAGCGCAAAGCTACTGGTCCGGACGGGATTCCCGGCCGCGTCCTCAAGTCATGCGCGGCTCAGCTGGCTGGAGTGTTCACGCACATCTTCAACCTTTCCCTCTCTCTGTCTGTAGTCTGAGTTCTGGCTCCGTTCCTCTTCACCATCTACACTGCAGACTTCTCCCACAATTCCACCCAGTGCTTCCTGCAGAAGTTCTCTGATGACTCTGCAATAGTCGGCCTCATCACTGATGGGGACGACAGGGAGTACAGAGGACTGACCCAAGACTTTGTGGACTGGTGCCAGCTGAACTACCTCCAGATCAACGCCAGTAAAACCAAGGAGCTGGTGGTAGACTTCCGCAGGCACAAGCATTCTCCACTGCAACCACTGAACATCCAAGGTATGGACATTGAGGCTGTGGACAGCTACAGGTACCTTGGTGTTCATCTGAACAACTAGACTGGACTGGACTCATAACTCAGACGCCCTCTACAGGAAAGGGCAGAGCAGGCTGTACCTGCTGCGGAGACTCAGGTCGTTTGGAGTGGAGGGCCCACTCCTGAAGACCTTCTATGACTCTGTGGTGGCTTCTGCTATCTTTTATGGTGTGGTCTGCTGGGGCGGCAGCATCTCTGCTGGGGACAGGAAGAGACTGAACAGGGTGATCCGAAGGGCCAGCTCTGTTCTAGGATGCCCTCTGGACCCAGTGGAGGTGGTGAGTGACAGGAGAACGGCGGCTAAGCTGTCATCCCTGATGGACAACATCTCCCACCCCATGCAGCAGACTGTGACAGCACTGAGCAGCTCCTTCAGTGGGAGACTGCGGCACCCACGGTGTGGGACGGAGAGATTTCGCAGGTCTTTCCTCCCCACTGCTGTCAGACTCCATACAACAAAACTTTAACTGATCAAGCACACACATCCATACATATGCAATAATACTAAGTGCAATAATCCTTTCTGTCATCGTTGTATTTTTACTCAGTTGTATATAGCATTTGTATTTGTATTCTATTTTTATCTTATTGTATATTTATTTTATTTTATTCTACTGTATATAGTATTTTATTCTATTCTGTACAGTTGTGTACTGTATTTATTCTTATTGTATCCTAATTTTTGCCTCATAACTTTTGCACTGTCCACTTCCTGCTGTGACAAAACAAATTTCCCACGTGTGGGACTAATAAAGGTTATCTTATCTTATCTTATCTTATCTTAGTCCCAGCCTGCTTCAAATGCAATGACCTAGATCCCCTACCTCACCTTCAAACTCGTCCCTGTACCCAAATCCTCCACCATCTCCTCATTGAACGACTGGCGACCTGTAGCCCTGACCCCCATCGTGAGCAAATGCTTCGAGAAGCTGGTCAGGGACTTCATCCGCTCTGCACTACCCGACTCACTGGACCCTCTACAGTTCGCATACCGCCACAACAGGTCCACTGATGATGCCATAGCCCTGACACTACACACTGCCCTGTCACACCTGGAGAAGAGAGACACGTATGTGAGAATGCTGTTTGTAGATTACAGCTCAGCATTCAATACCATCGTTCCCTCGAAGCTGGACAGGAAACTGCAGGATCTAGGACTGAGCAGCTCCCTCTGCAGCTGGATCCTTAGCTTCCTGTCTGACAGACGCCAAGTGGTCAGACTGGGCAGCATCACCTCATCCCCCATCACACTGAACACTGGTGCTCCACAGGGGTGTGTACTGAGCCCTCTCCTGTACTCACTCTACACCTACGACTGCACAGCCACTAACAACTCCAACATCATTGTGAAGTTTGCGGACGACACTACAGTGGTGGGTCTTATCACCAACGGTGATGAGACGGCTTACAGGGAGGAGGTCAGCGCCCTGACCCACTGGTGTCAAGACAACCATCTCACCCTCAACGTCGCAAAGACAAAGGAGTTGATAGTGGACTTCCGGAGGTGCAGAGAAGTACACACCCCCATCACCATCAACGGCGCTGCTGTGGAGAGAGTGAGCAGCTTCCGGTTCCTTGGAGTACATCTGGCTGAGGATCTTACGTGGTCAGTACACACAAACAAAACAGTGAAGAAGGCGCAGCAGCGCCTCTTCTTTCTCAGGAGACTGAAAAGATTCGGCATGAGCCCCCGCATCCTCAGGACCTTCTATCACTGTGCCATTGAGAGCATCCTCACTGGATGCATCACCACCTGGTATGGCAACAGCACCGCCTACAACTGCAAAGCTCTCCAGCGAGTAGTGCGGTGCTCTGAACGGATAATTGGAGGTGAGCTTCCCTCCCTCCAACACATCTACAGGAAGCGCTGCCTGAGGAAAGCGGGGAGGATCATCAAGGACTCCAGTCACCCCAGCCATAAACTGTTCAGACTGCTTCCATCAGGAAGGAGGTTCTGCAGCATCCGGTCCCGTACCAGCAGACTGAGAGACAGCTTCTTCCACTCAGGCCATCAGACTGCTGAACACGTCATAGACACCTCAGCTTCACTACTGGAACTTAACATTATGCACTACCACTGTACAGTAATGCCACTGTTTTGCACATGTCTCACTCTGTATATTTTTATATATTTTATTTATTGTTTACTCTATTTAATTTGTAAAATATGTGTACCACACACACACACACACACACACACACACACACACACACACACACAGAAAAATATTTAGTATACACATCCAGAAATGCATATACTATTATATATTGTACATATATTTATTAGTTTCAGATGTAGCCATTCTTGTATTTTGCTTGTTTACATTATTGTATTTTGCACAACTCTGTTGCTTGTGAAGCTCGCACACAAGAATTTCACTCACATGTGCTGTACCAATGTACCTGCACATGTGATGTGACAATAAAAGTGATTTGATTTGATTTGATTTGATATTGAGATTGACGGCTACCACGTGGTAGTGATGTAGAAAATGGAAAGGCAACCAAAACAAACAGGCAGATGAGTGATTACAAATGTCTGTTATTGAACTCAAACATTAGCTTCATAACAATCAGAATGAAAATGCTAAAATATAGACAGAACTTCAGAACTTGAGCAGTGTTTTTCCTCCACTCTGTGTTTCTGCACATCTCACAATGCTAAGATGTCCTAATGAAATTCATTAAAAACATAACATACGTTTTTAAACCAAGAAAGGAAGGAGTTACATCATCATATTTATGCTTTAAGGGGACAGAATATAAATTCTCAACAATTCTCTAAACCACCACAAGATGTCGCTCCAACACAAGGAATGAAATCATTCCTGCTCAGGCAGGTCAGCAGTCACATGTACTACACATCTAATTAACTTCTGCGCACCAGAAACATGGTTTCACAACTCCTCCATTTTACACAGTTACACAATATAATATTCGAAAACACATCAGACATTTAAGGAAACAAACAAACCCTGAACAAGATTAACAAATATCAAATTATGAGCCAATTTTAGTGGTAATTACTAATTAGCAAGTTAACTAAAGTGTCAAAACAGAGATTCACTTAGTTCACAACAGCGCTCTGCTTTGGAGTCAGACAGTCTGTATGACTGAGCAAGGGCTGCTGGGTAATGAAGTCCCAATAACATAATCTGGACTTTTTATGCAACAAATCTGAGTGAGGCTTTTGTCTCGAATTCCAACTTCAAACCAAACCAAATGCATAGAGAAAGTAGAAACAGTGTATCGTCAGTGTAGGATGGAGATCAACCAGGATGGCTGTGAAACATCTGCTGACATCTTGTTGAATTTAATGGTGTAAATCCACAAACAGCAGCAGGTCATGTGATCACATCATGTACATTAAAAAAACATAGTGAAGCTCACATTAGAAATTATCACGAGTTGTGATTTGTTTCCCTGCTGAATCACTAAAGAGATTTTAGGGTTCCCATCTGCTGAATCCCAATTTAAACCTTGACTGTTCTAATTTTACTGTTTAGGTTTGGAGGTGAAGTCACCCTCTGCCCTCTGTAAGCAACAGGAAATACTTATTTTCTTTTACTGCATGTCTCCTACATAACAAACTAGCCCCATTTTTTAAAATTATAGTTCAAATTGTAACAGTATTTGTATTCTGTCGTAGTAATATTATTATATTAATATGCAGTAGTTCAGTTCTCTTTAGTCAAGTTTTAGTTATTCTAATATTTTGCATATATATTGGATTCAAAAGTTTAGAAAAAAGATACAACCACACACATTTTGAGGGCAGATCTCATCACCCATGTTTGGTTGACAAATCTGGCTTAACTGAAAGTGAAAATATTTTTATGATTTGTAAGGTCAAATAATGGTTTCAGTGGGTTTTTTTTTATTTTCTAAAGTCAAGTGTTTGTTTTTAAAGATAAAAGAAGACAAAAGTGTAAATGAAGATGATAATAGGCTAAATTTGTGATTGTGTGCCTCTAAAAATCTGGTTAGTCTGTGAAAAAAAGCATTGGAAAAATAATAAAGTTGTTTTCTACTACAAATGTTGCTGAAGCTTCGACCTCTTCTGAGCGATAACTCAGATATTTCTAGGCAGCTTTTGAGGTTGAAATATTTTTATTCATTAATTCTTTTATGTCACGTGTCCCCAAGAAGCATTTAAGACAGAAAAAATTAACAGATCAATATCATAAAACACTCACATTTAAAATAAAATTTACTATTAGATGGCAAATATTTAAAGCCTTAGTGGATAATAATCAGAAGTGTGTATTTGCTCTTAGGTTGAGGTCTGGTGAGAGGTATGGGGTTGATGTAGTACCTGTACTGGCCACCAGGCGGCACAGACATCAAAGTGGACACAGCCTGTTTACAGAAGTCACAGGTGAGCAGGTAAGAGGAAGGACAGCTAGAAGGAAGTGAGTTTTTCCACTGTCTCAGCTGTTGGTCACGTCATGTTTTCTACTCTCTGTTTTTACAAACATGACTTTTGCCCCAAGACTTTTGTAGATGTTTTAAATCTAAATGAAAGTGTTTAAATTTGAAGCACAAGAACCAGTTAGACTCAAATATACCTGAGAAATATTAAATGTTTGTCTTATATTAATGAAATCACAAAGCTGCAGGTTTGTGCCTCCTGATGAAATATATTTCTAGAGAAAATCAAACAGTAAATCAAACACTTCAAATATTAACCACCTTTGCTGAGTGTAATTCATCATCTTTTTGAAAGTAAAAGTTAATAAATGATTCAATGCTTCTCAGTGCTTCCTCATAACTCTATAAACTCACTGAGATGTCTTTCAGGAGCACACAAAACACATGAAACATAGTTTTAGTCTTCGAGTTACAAAGCCTGATTTTAAACCATCATATATTTTCTTTTGAGTGACAATTATCAGCTTGGATATGTTTTTGTTATTTTTTTTTCAAAATCAGGATTTGCAGCAGTGATTACTGAAGCTTTGTTTTAAACAGATATTTACCATTTACAGCCCAGTTTGATCTTAAGTGGGCTGAACCAGTATGACTGTTGTGTAATAACCTGCATGGAAATTAAGCCCATGCTACCACGTAATCAGTAACATTCATTGTACACTAACCATTGACTAAGGTACCCAGCACACACACTTAAAAGTTAAGAACAAGTGTCCCATCTTTCCATGTGCTTTGGAGTTTGTACATGCTTTGTCTCTAGGGGCCACTGTAGAATTGACGGAGAAGGCGTATAAGTTCATGCACTGCACTGCCCCCTCGAGTGAAAATACCAGGTAATGAAAAACTGCCTAGTGTCTGTGTACATATCTGTGTGTGACACAAGGAAACTTTGTAGACAAGTTGTCTGTATTCTTAAATACTTACAGAGACCAGTTGCTGGATTTTTGCAAGACGACTGTTGTACTATTCATGTCTGATTCTAGCTGCTCGACTGTCCTGGGTCTTCTTCTTTTTGTTTGTTTGTTTCATGGTGCTCTAGATGTTGAAAGGTCTGGACTGCAAACTGCAGGGAGGTGAGTTCAGCATCCAGATGCTATGTTGACCTAAACTGACAGTATTGACGGTGTCTTACCAGATGTGTAAAGTGTCAACTCCATAGATACTAATACAGATTTAAAGGTTTTATTTATATAATTCCCACAAGAGGAGATAACCTACTGGATTTGTTGGACACCACCTGTAAAGGAGCACATAAGGCCTCCCACCTCCCCCACCTGGGTCTCTGATCACAGAACCGTCGTGCTGAGACTTGTAAACACACCCAGAGTGAGAGTCACCAGACTAACACAGAAGCAGATACATGTGTGGCCAGAGGGGGGCGCCTATGCACTGAAGGACTGCTTCAGCACTACAAACTGGGACATCTTCAAACAATCAGCCACCTACAATAACCACAGACACTGAGAAATACACTGAGGCTGTCACAGGATACATCGCAAAAAGCACTGATGATCTCAGGAGGAAATATTAGTCCAGTGTCCACGAGAAAAACTTTAGCTGAGTGACAAATTAGGGTGGAGGTCCATCGATGGCTGGGACCTTCGATGGAGCAGTGTGCAGTCCACCAGCATCAATCAAATCCCCCAAATATTCCACAGATGGAACTAAAAACTCACATTTTTCTTTACAGACTCTCAACCATCCTGCTCTCTGCTTTTTCTGCCTTTTTGTCCTCC